AGCTACATGTTATAGGAAAGAGAGAGGCGTGCGAGACTGGAGAGAGAGGAGAGAGGCGAGCGAGAGAGGGAGAAGAGTGGGAGAGAGGTGAATTGTATATGTATATCGGTTAGATAATTGAATATTATACATATGCATCTGTATATATGGCAAGCGAGACTGGGAGAGGGAGGAGAGAAGCGAGTGAGATTGGTAGAGGGAGGAGAGAGGGCAGAGAGTGGGAGAAAGGTGAATTGTATATGTCTATCGATTAGATAATTGTATATTATACATATGTATTTATATATTCTGGCAAATTATACATATACAAACGTGACTAATTATACAAACTAGAAGTCAACCCACGTAATTATTGTATAATGTTAGTCGCGAGTGGTAATATAGCAATCTATAGCTATGATGAGTAATTAAGTAGTATAAATTTGCTTAACCGCGTAATTTTTCCAATAGAAAATAAGTTATTTGTGTATAAAATTAATATAACATTTGATTGACAATGCAAGAGCCTGTATAACTAATACATATATACATAATGAAGAAATCTATATGTATTATATGTAAGATTTATGTATATATAAGATAGAATATGAAATAACTAGTAAATGAATAATTAATTCATCCATAAGTAATATACACATAAAATAATACATTGATTCACTCGTAATTCATTCCTAAAGTACAGAAATAATAATATACAATTGTCATATCCTAATTTATTTGTTAAAAAAGTATACAAATCATCTACTTTTAATTAATGAATATATGAGTGCTAAATATGGTAACAGAAATAATAATGAATCCCATTATTCATGCTAACAGATTTTTTTAATGACATCTACTACAATAATAACACCATAATAATAAGATTCATCATATTGAAGAAGCTCCATTAAAAGGAAAAAAAATTATATGTTTTATTTTGTATACATATGAAATATTATACGTTTTATACCATGAATTTATCATAGAAAGTATATGTTCCATATGCATATTAGAATTATATATGTATAGGATAATATTTGAATATGAATATAGATGGTTGAATTTGTATATAATATAAAGTGTATATGTATGTGAAGATGAATATGTATATACATATAATGAACACATATGATTTATATATACAAATATATATGTATGAATATGTATATACGTATAATGAATATGTGATCCACATATACAAATATATAAATGCGATTCAACATAATTATGTATATACAGTAATCAGTCACAATTATGTATATGTACAAAGAATAACAAAAAAATATACACAAATTTACCAATTCTGATAAGAACTTTTATTCCTTAAATACACAAATCGGGTACATTGGTCCTTAATCCTAGAATCAATTTGAAAAGCAATCGAATCATCGACGATAAAAGGCCGATTAAGTTCCCTCATCATTTTCACGCATGAGTAATAAACCCTAACGACAAAATTCTTTTTCGAAAGAATTTATGAACAAGAACAACAACAGCAGTGACAAGAGTAGAAACAACGGAGATGGGGAATTTCATATTTCAAAATAGAACTGTAAGAGTGTTTTTAGGAGAGAAAAGAGGAATGTGATTAGGAGAGATGAAATTTAGTTGTATAAAGTTATATACAAAGGCAGATAAAGATTTTCTTAGTTGGATATACAATGAAATGTGGGTCTCATAATTAATGGCAAAAAAATTGAAATTGTAACCACTCAAGTAATAAAATTAAACTATACCCTCTTTAACTAATAATATAGTAATGTTTGCCAATTCATGTAATTTTCCCTTTTAAAAAGAGAAAAAAACTTAAGATTTTCAAAAAAAATTACATTTTTCAATGTAATTAATTGAGGATACAGTAGGAATTTTTTTTTTTTGTTCTTTCTTGATTTGTCAAAATGGACAAACAACTAAAAAAAAAAACATATGAACAAGTAATTAGGAACGGAAGAAAGGAGTATCATTTAGCAAGCATGTGAAACCTCATAAACAAAAAACTTTTAACATGGAAATTAACTTTTGGAATTAAAATTGTGTTAATCCCAAATTAGAAGCCATTTCTTCCGTGGATAGCCATGAAATGCAAAGGACTAACATATATATATATATTCAGACTTCAATTGGATGATCGAAACATAAACTAAACTAAACAGCATATTGATAAATTCAAAAGAAAAAGAGCTAAAGCTAAAACAAAGAATCATAAGAAAATAATGTACAGAACAACAGCAAGCACCCAAACAAACAAGATTCTAAATGACAGAAACAAAGAAGATTACCAAAACCATTTCTCTTGTAGCCTTTGAGAGGGAGGGCGAAATAATTCAAAGGAGATTCGGTTCAAAATGGTTCTTTTTATTTAGAGAAATAGAAAAAAAAGAAGAGAGGGATTGGATGAAAGGTCCAAATTAAAGGATTCCAACAATATGATACGAAATCAACTAAACTAATTAAACCACCTTTTTAATCTTAACAAAGTGAAATAATCATCTAACATTTTGAATAACAAACTCATTATAATACTAATTACTTGACTTTATTAATTGTTTTTTTCAAGTATTTATAAAAATGGAAATATTAAATCTTAAATTTTAATTCATCTACTTCATAATTAATAGGGGTAAAATGATAAATTCACTATGTCAATTATTGTTTTCTTAACAGATGTGTCACTCGTTTTTCACCATTCTTGAGGCTAAAGGTAAGCTTTGCACTTCCCGAATCCATTTTTCGATCCGTAGAACGTAATAGAATGGGTGAATATTGATGGTGAAGAGTTTTGTTATAGATTCTATAGTGAAAACAACCCTAAATTGGATAATTGGGATCATGGGTATGATCTAGGGTTAATTAAGTAAGGTTAAATAAAATGAACAATAAAATTCAAACACATGACACACATGTATTGGATTGGTGTATACACAAATTTTACCCATAAATATTTTGATGATCTGACTTGTGAACCATGGTAATAAATCATATGAAATTTAGGGCCAGTTGTCCATATGAGATGAAGTTGAAGTTTTAATTGTTTATTCATCTTACCAAATAAGTAAAAGTTCATAACAAAAGTGTAATACAATATCACAAAGTTATTATAAAAAAAATTAGAACATTTATTGATTAAATTTGAAGAAGTATTTTGTAGGTGATTTTCAGATGAATAATTTTCACGAAGTCCCATCTTATGGGGAAAAAACCATTAATCTAGACAAGCAGCATACTGCAAATCTGAGAGTACGGCAAGTTAACAGAAGATCAACTGTTATAATTATTCAATGACTAGAAAGAGGGCGCCAGTGCATCGCACGAATTATAATTATAATTAAAATGAGTAAATTAAGGATTCTCTGTACAACATTGGTATAATATTGTTACAATACGTGCAAAAATAATGCTAACTAAAATTCAATTGAAATTGAGATTACTATCAATTCTCCTATTTTTGTAAAATGGAAATTTAGGCAAGTGTTTTCTAAACATATGTATAAAAATACCAAAGGCTGCACATGTCAGTACCGACCAGTGTACATATTTGATTTACAATTGGCAAGCTTTACCATTAGTTTTTTTTATGAACGTGTAATTCTATTCCACCTTAAAGTTATAAGCACTCAACCGATATTTTTTTAATGGCTGCTACACATTCAAATATGGAAGTTAGGTAGTTCTAAATCAAAAAGTTCATTTCTTACTTTGAGCCGCCCACAGTTCACAATCAAATCAAACCTTAAGTTTGAATAACATAATATTACCTTGATGTTGTATAAACCACTAAGAAAATCATTTTATTACATTTATCATATAATACAACAACTTAGTCTTGAAGAGCTCATGCTCTACCTATCCTTGTGCTTCTTGATCTGGGGACGTAAAAAGAGCTCATACTAAAAATGTCGGCTTCTCTTCGTCTCACCTACATCTCATATACAAAATTGCCTCTCCTGAAATACAAAATAAATGTTTGTTTTACTTCTATTGAGGGACATGGAAAGAGTAAAAAATATTACAAAAAAATGAATGTGAGAATAAATTAGCTAAAAATGTTTGCGAAAGATATCACAGACATTTTAGAGCTCATACTTGGACCAAGCAAAACCTCCATTTTTTCATCTATTTCATTGCCAAACCTTCAAATGCAATAAGCAAAACACAAGGAATCCATTAATGACCATGACACAAAATTCTGATGAAAGAATAGTATGCTACAAATAAAAGAGAAAACATGAAGTTTATATTACTCTATAAGAAGAGTATGACAGCACTCTTAACAAAATATTATTATATATTGCATACTCAAATTACTACTCCTATTTCACATATAATACAAAAAAGTTTAGGAGTTAGTAGCTACTCTTGAGCAACAAACTCAAGATTAAAGAAAAGAGTTCGTTTCTGCGTTAAATTAATAGTCTTATAGGATTCTTCCATTACCCAAACATTTTATTACTCTCTCATTTCTCAAATTTTTTCTAGCGTCAACATTATTACTTATTTGCTAGATTTTATTATGTTCATTTTTTTTTGGATTAATCAGATGAAAAATATTTTTAACATTATCAATTGTATCTAACTAATATGAACACATGAAACAAAAACTTTGAGAAAGCATTATCTTTCCAAACTTCTTCCATGGGTGACCAAGTATGTATATAGTGTAGATTTGTCAAAATTGACAACATTATGAAAAATAACTCAATACAATGAAAAACAATCAAGGATTGCAACTTATGAATACAAATCAGAGACTTTACAATGTTTTGAATTACACCATCTTCCAATTTCATTACATCAATATCATCGTCTAATATCTCAAATTAGTTGATCAATGAACATCCCAACCTTTTTCTTAGCCCCTAAATTTCAAAGCCAGAATAGAAAGCACAATAAAACGTAAGAGTTTAATAAATAATATACATTGTCAACGTAACGTAAATAATTTTTACATGTGATGGTAGGTAGCACATTTTATCAAGAAGGTTAATGTAAATCTACTAACCTGATAGTGCAAAAAAATATTTACATTGATCATGTATAAAACTCAAATGTAAAGGTACATCATTTGCAATAAATGCATTATTTCATTCGGTGAGCATTCATTAACCAATACAACTGATAATGATCGTATACAGACAACTTAAATACCAAAATTTGATTCAGATGATGAATGTTTGTCGAAATTTGAGCAAGAGTATCTCCATCTTCATCAACAACTTGCTTGGATGGTTGTTAAATATTACTATTTTGTTTATAGTCATTTTCATGCAATTTTCCTTTCCACAAATGGATCAGGGCAAATAAAAATGGTCACATCTGTAAACTTCATGTCATTATATTCTCTAAAAAAATTGAAGGAAAAAAAAAAACAAAATTAAGAAAGAAAGAGTCGAGAAAAACTTACCACAAAATACAATTAAGAAACTTGAATTTGAAAGAGTCAATGAAGAAGAAAGTGAACTTCAAAGATCCATCTTGAAGGTTGAAGTTGTGAAGCAATGAACCTAATGTTGGTTGGTGAGTGTTTTGAGCATTGGTGAGATGATAGTGCAAATACGCGTGTCAACAGAAAAATAACAAAAAAAATGACGTCCAATCAAATAAAGCCAAGTTTGTAGTACACTTCACATAGAGTGGTCATTTGGGTATTAGAAAAAGTGGCAAGTGCTTCGGTATACACATAGTTTGCAGGGGAAAAAGAACACTGTTAAGGAAAAGGCATCTGAAAAGTAAAAGTTACACGGCAAGTACAACTTAAATGCTGTTATAGTTGTTGAATAAAGTGGGCCCTAACATAGTACAACTTAAATGTAATCAATGCTAGTACAATAGTTGTTGAATAAAATGGACCCTAACATAGTATAACTTAAATTACATTTGGAATAACTTTTTGGAGCTTAATACTTGTTGAATAAAGTGAGTCCTAACATAGTACAACTTAAATTAAATTTGGAACAATTTTTTGGAGCTGTGTTCGTCTTTTATAACTCCCTCTTCTAAATAAGGGTAAAAATAAAATAAAATAATAATAATATAATTCAATATATGGGACACAACCTCGTTAAAAAAAATTATTCAAATCATTTAAAAGACGATATATCCTGAAACTTTTTATCTAATGCCAAAAATTGACATATTAAAATCATGGCTTCTAGAAATAAATAAAGGGAAAAGGGTCTAAAATACCCCTCAACTTTGTCATTTAGAGCTGATATACCCCTCGTTATGAAAGTGGCTCATATATACCCCTACTTATATACAAATGGCTCACATATACCCTTCCCTCTAACGGAAATGAAAAATAAAAAATTTAGTTTAAGTTTTTATTTTTTAAAAAAAAAAAAAACTATAATCCCATACGGGTATATTTAATCTTCCTCAAACATATTTTTTTTGTTTCAATGGCTAATTTGGATTTATATTTTGATGGTCAAATTTATTTATGTTTCACTAATATTCTTGTAAAACTTATTATAGATGACCAATTTTTTTTTCTTCAAATACAAAAATTAATTACATTATAGAAAAAAAAAAATTGTTTTAAATTATAATATAGCCACAAAACAATAGTTTTAAATTTTTTTCTTTACACTAAGGAATGAAAGAAAAAATAAAATAAGAATAAGAATAAGAAACTAAAATAATGAAAATCAAAGAAGTCAAAAAATAATTTATGTATGAAAAAATTGAAATATACCTTGAACTTTCTAGAAGAATCCTATATACCCCTAAATGATTTTTTAAAAAAAAATAAAAGTAAAAATATAAGTTTAAAATTAATTTTTTTCACTTCCGTTAAAATGAAGGGTATATGTGAGCTCATTTTGTAATGGTAGGGGTATATGTGAGCCGTTTGTATAACGGTAAGGGTATGTATGAGTCACTTTCATAACGAAGGGCATATCAGCTCCAAATATCAAAGTTGAGGGGTATATTAGAACCAATAAATTCAGTCACTTTCATCTTTCATAACAAAAAGTTTGACATAAATTGTAAGTCACTTTCATATTCTTTTTCTGTTATAGTAAAAAAAAAAATGTGGATAAAATTGAGGTATCTACTTTGATTTTGTGGTCATTTTTTATTAGCTGAGGATACTGCGGTACTTTTAGCTGAGGTATCAAAATTTTAAATTGAATTGGTGTAAAAAAAAAGGGATAAGGGTCTGGAAAATACCCCAATATTGATCGAATTTGCTGTTGCGATACTAAACTTTCATGAGAACTTATTACCTTCCTAGACTATTTAATACCGTATTTTAAACATATATATTTGCCCACGTGGACATAAAAATAATGCAAAATTATAAATAGTAATGTGTCCACGTGGACACATTACTATTTATAATTTTGCATTATTTTTATGTCCACGTGGGCAAATATATATGTTTAAAATACGGTATTAAATAGTCTAGGAAGGTAATAAGTTCTCATGAAAGTTTAGTATCGCAACAGCAAATTCGACCAAAGTTGAGATATTTTCAGACCCTTGTCCCTAAAAAAAATGTAATTGTTTTAAAAATTAGAAAGCTTAATTCTTATATTATTCCACATATTTTTCCGGTGAGTTGATTCGGTGGAAAATGAGTAAAAAAATGATGTTATTTAGCAGGAAATATTATTATTTATAAAAGGAGGATTAATTCTAGTTAGTAAGTGGTCATGCATTGTACTTTTGCAACACATTATTTTTTATATTGTTGTAAAAGAGTTATTTATTTATATAAAGATTTGAGTTGTTTAATTCAAAATTCTTAAATATTTCTAATAAAAAGTTGATTCTTCTTCTTTTTTTCTTTTTTTCTTTTTTAATTTAAATTTTGTATTTATTTTTTATAATGTTCAAAATTGTTTCAAGTGAAATTAAAATTATAAAATTTCTATTAAAATATTTTTGGATCTCAAAATTTGAATCCTTAACAAACACTTTACTAGTTTTATCCCCGAGCAACCTATAACAGTATAATTACATAACAGTTGAGCAATTTGATAAATAAACTGCAAAATCAAATCAGATACACTATGATGGATGTTTAAATTAGGAAACAAACAAGATATATCTTAGTAAAATTAGGATCACATGACACCAAAAACATAAATTTAAATTTACTTAGGTTTTTATAATTTCAAAGAGAATATTTACATGCTAATCAGATATATGTATTTAGTGTGATTCTTATATATATGAGATACTAGATACATATGAGAGTGACGAGCAAGATTTGTTATGTATCTCAGATATATGTGAATCTACTTGGATATATTGTATCTAAAATAAATTACACCTAATTTTAACTATATATATCCCGAGATACACGTATTTAGACGCGCCAAAATTTGACAAAATTTATAATATTACAAACTAGAGTATATCTAGATAATTAACTTCTAAACTAGTAGGATTTTTGTAAATTTCCTACAAAATTCCTCATGGAGCAAAACAGGTCAATAAGATTCCAACTCATTTTATGCCCTTCTAATTTAATTCAAATATTATATAATTTCAATCTTTTCTAATTTACTGTTCTTTTTTTTTTTTTTGGATGTGTTGGTTGATTTTAGAGGTTTGAAAAAAAATCCTTCCATGTATTTGTTTGACTTGGATAGTTGATTGTACACGAGGTTTCCTCCATCTTTTTTTTCCTAATATGTGAGTGTGACATAAGAGAAGGCGAACTAGAATTATTAGAATATCAAACCAAACCATTTGTGTTGGATTTTTAAATTTATAAATCAAATCAAACTAATAAAATTCGGGTTTTTCAACCTCTGGTTTTTTTGGATTTTTTTGGGTTTTTTTGGATTTTTTTGGGTTTTTTCGGATTGTTTCGGATTTTTCCGATAAAGTATTCATACAAACATATAATTTACTTGTACTTCAAATATTTCTTTAGTCCTAAAAAATACAACTATTTAAGGTGTTTCTTAAAAAAATAACACAAAATATGATATGATTAATGACTCTAAAATATCCAACAAAACTAATAATAATGAAAATCGCGTAAAAACAAATATTACAAATTAACAAGTCATAATGAAAATGATCATAATTTAAAAATACTAAATCATGCTAATATATATTAGATTGTATAAATTTTGACGACGCATATACTAATCACTAGATATAAGGTGTCCGTGCTAGCAGAGGTCCAACATATGCTACATTTTTGTTTTAATTAATATAATACAAATGTATTTTGCAGCCATTCAAAAACTTATACTTTAAAAAATGATAGTCAAAGTTTCATTGTTTGCTACGTTTCGTCATAACCTTGTCAGCCATAAACATTTCGTCATAACCTTTGTCATAGATTTTGTTAGTAGTCAGCCATAAACATTTCGTCAATAACCTTGTCAGCCATAAACATTTCGTCATAACCTTTGTCATAGATTTTGTTAGTACATATTTGGGATTTTATCGGAGATCCTATAAAAACCCAACTCATATGTACTAAAAATAAATAAATTGAGTGTTAATAACATTTTTCACTTATAAATTATTACTATTACTATCATGGAATTGATCTTCCACATTACAATTAAGGTAGCTCTCAAATTTGTCATTGTTTCTACTATTGTAACCATAGCATGGTGGTGGTACTTATGCTGCTATCGGAGCAGTCGTATCACTACTAACGTCGATGAGCATGAAGCTCCTCAGACACCATCACTAGCACCAGTTATGAACGCATCAGCAAATTTCGAACTTCAAAATGTGTAATAAAATAAAAATGTCATCAAAATTCTCAGGTAAGCAAAAATCATTGGTTTTATTCTAGAAGTCATTATATATATATGTGGCTGGTCATGTACTCTAGCTAGTACATATTTATATTTGAGATGACTTCAGAATTTAAATGCGGTAATTTCAACTTTTTAGGATTGTTTGCAATATTGGTTGTACATTTGAATTTGCTAGCTTCAGAAAAAATCTTACGTACACATAAATTAGCATCCATTTAAGTGTTCAAAAGCTAATTATTTTATTTTTTCTTATTCTATAATTGAGAGTTAGCACTTAGCAGGCAACACACCGTTAACCTGTGTCTTTACCAGTCTACTAGTAATCTTTTTCATTTCAAGTATTATTTGAAGCAATTTTGTGATTATGTGGGGCTTATTTTTTTCTTTCATTTTAAGCTTGATTTTCATATTTAATGGTGTGGATAAATCGATAGTTATAATTTGTTTAATTTCAAGTTTTCAACTTATTTATACTTATAAAATATTAGATAATTATGGGTTTTAAAATTACTTTGATATAGTTTGATGTTTTAGTAATTAAATGACACTCTTCGATTTTTATTGCAAAGAAAAACTTATTAAAAGAAGTATTATTAAGTTTTTTTGGAAATGTCTAAATCATACCAACCAATATAATATGATTTTCTCGTTGAAGCTACATATATATAACTTCTTTTTCCAAAAAAGTTAAAATTATATGTTATGTTGAAATATAGTCATCGAAAAAATTGGCAGTGTTCACATGTCATCTATCAAGAGAAATCAATCAGCAAATTAAATGAATTAAGCATTCTTTCTGTTTGACTATATAACAATTTTA